ACGGTCCTACCTCGAGCCATAAGCCCTTTCCTTCACTTTGGATTGAGGGGTACGCCTGTTGCCAACCAAACGCTGTCGCCAATGGTTTTGTTCACGTAGCGTCCAATTCATTGCGCGCCGAGGTTGTTCGCTGCATCCCTTTTTGTTCTGCGACTTCCTCATGCCGAAATGCCTATTGTTCAGCGCACGCTAAGCATCATGTATGAGGCATATGCGTTTGTGTTTGAGTGTGCCAAATACGCACCACATGGCATCACAGTGTCTGGGATCCATTCGATGCTTCTTCGCTGTTCAGCTCCCCCCTCCCCACCGCCCCCTCCCACCCCAACTTATTTTGTGAAACTACACCCCTAGGCTGTGCACGTTTGTTTTGTATGAGTCTTTTAGCAGCCCCCATGTGTCATTTTGTCTCTATAGTTTTCGCTGTTATTCACCATTATCGGCCGTGATGGGCCAGACAGAGCGCATTTTATGTCAACTCCAAGCACTTAATTTGAGGGGATCCGGTGGTGGTAATCTGACCGGAGCCGCATACTTGAGAGTACTTTAAGTTTGACTGTTCGCAACTCGCTCACCTCGCTCGGCATCGTTGCCTTCTGATCTTCGAGCTGAGTTCAAGAGTTCTTACGACTACCCTGCCACTCCGTCGCACACCCCCGGCGGCGTATGTTGGTGGCGTTTGGTTTTTCGATGACCTAGCAGCCCAGCACGAACAATGCTCTCATTTGGTAGTTTTACAACAGGCTTCTCCACGAGTGGTGTTCTCATATCTACAGGAATATATATGCGTCGTGGATCAAAGCTGCACTTCGGTGCTACAAAAAAAGAAAAGGTGTAGTCCTGTGGCAAAACGTTGGCAGCGTAATATGGGCACAAAGGTTATTAGAACGATTACCCTTATCATCTTCTGATAATGCCGCATTGGCACTGCTCAGCGCTGTCATTAAACGTAACTGGTCCTGAGATTTAACCGGCGCATGCTTTTGAAATAAATCCCAAAGTTGGGACACTCCCATTACGTGTGGAATCCAAGTTCTTTTAAAAGATGCATTTCAAAAGTAAGGTCCGCTGAGCTGTTGTGAAAAATCTACGTGACGTGGTGCGTGCTTCTGTTTTTCCGTGCTAAGCATCAAATTTGTTGTCCTCGCACAGCGGAATATTTCAGAGCTGCATGTTCCGTTCATTGAAAGGCGCTGGGCTGTTTTGGAGCTCTATTTTGCCCCACTTCCCGGGTTTGTTTTCATTTTGACGCCTGGTTTGCAAATGGCGAGTGTCGCTCGCAAACAGTAGCGTTCGGCCATAAGATTTATGAGACTGCAGAAGAAGACATGGAAAATTCCCCAGGAGCTTTTAAAATTCATTGTAACAGCACCATTTCCTTGTCAAGTAACTGATCAGTAATACGATACATCTGATATAAGGTAAATTTTAGTGGAGCGAATTAAGAAGAACTATTTACAATGCTTATATACATTATATGCAAGTGGACTGTATTTTTTATGAATTTTCAGTCGCGGACCTTGCTCACAGAATCGAAAAATTGAAACGTAAAATGGACACCAGATGCTAGCCAGTGTTGACAGTTGACATTTCCCCCCCCCCCGCACACATGTAACGAAATGGCACACATTTCCCATACTTTACCGAGCAAATTACAAGAAATCATGGGCGATAAAATGCAGCGGCTTTGTACGGATAAAGACTGCATTATCCTCCAGGATGAAATAGTTCTTTTTCGTAGGGGTTTTAGCTTGCGTATGTGCATTGACCCACACATTTCGCGATGGAGAGGTCATTGTGTTTTTTTTTAATTTCATGGCCAAGGGGTCCTCATTACGCCTAGTCGCACAGCTTTGGTGAGCAGTACGAAAATGATCACAGGTGGCAGTCTCATGAGTTTTAACTTGTGTTGTTTTCTCTTTGCATATAGGAAGTGCTCGCTTAACCGTAGCAAAGTTGGTCTTTTTGAAACGCCGACACGCAATACACTTTCACCCCTTCGCTCACATACCTCGCGTGTTATAATATTCGCAACACCAGACGTCAGACACTTACCTTTCAAAGCCGACATGCATGTGTTACAAATTTGCTTACTGGGTGGACATACAGGTTGTGAGAAAATCGAACGAACTAGATCGCGTTTCAAAATATTCTGTTTTTCATGCTATACGAGCATTGCGATTTGACTTTGCCCTAACGAATTGCATCTTTATACACAAGACTTCATCCACATCAGGTAGCCGTGTTTTTGTTGATGTTGATTATGATGTTCCCGTCGCTGTTTGCTTTACTGACGTTGTTAGGCAGTCGTTGTGTGGCTTCTCAATAAATGCGACGCAAAGCTGCTTGGCGTAGCCGCTTCCCCTCGAACAGGTTTTGTACGTTTTGACCTGAGCGGTCATTTGCAGAGTCACCTGAAGGCAGGCTCACGTCGAAACTCTGAAAGGATGACGGTCAATTTTCGACATAGGGGGTCTGATATGTGATGGATGATGATTTCGCAATGATTAAGTTTGATGAAGAGTTCTGTTGAAAATTTGAAGTTTGGATTCCCAGCCACGTGTGTATCTAGGACTGTAAGCTCTCCTTATGTATGTGTGTCTTCTAAGGCAAACTGGATGTTGTTATGGACAGAATTATGGTATCTGATGAAATCCAGCAGCTCATCGTGAGAGTGAGTCCAGACCCCTCAGAAATCGTTGATGCATCTGGCGTAAAAATCAGGTATTTTGCTAACGTTGCTAATGGCAGCTTATTCAAATTTGCGCCTAAAGTCCTCGTAACGGGGGGTGTCACTTTGTTGCCCATGACAACGCCGAGTTGTTGTTTGTGGTAGTCATTGTCAAAGCTGAAGTCGGTATTTTGGGGACAGTGTGTAAAAGCCCTGTGATGTCTGCGGGTGTGGGACCACAAATATCAACATGGTAATGGTGTTGACAAATAAGGTCGGTGACCGCCGATACGGCCGCCACCAGCGGGATGCCGTCAAATAGGTAGACAGCGTCAATGCTGAAGACCGGTGTTCCGTGGAAATTATTGGCGAGGGAACTGATCTGCGAGTCTTCTCAGACGTTCTGTATTTCTGAGATGAGCCGGGGTGTAGGTGAGAGGTTTATTTAAGGTCCAATCCAAGGGCTAGTGTTTTTTCAGTCGAACCACCATAAGCAGAGAACGCCAGAGGGTTCTTTATGCTTCAGGGTTCTTTAATAGCCCATAGGTGTTTTTGAGTTGGTGGGTAGAAGGCGCGTCAAAAATTAATCGGCAACCTTGTTTTTGCGGAATGTTAAAAATATGCCTAATTTTCGCTTCAATCATTGCCGTTGGGTTGCTTGGCAGTTTTTGTAGCCGTTCTCGCGCTGCAGTGTATTCCTTACTTTGTCAACGTACCTTGTTTTATCCAAAATACCAAGCTTTTGCAGTTATCACTCAGTTTTACAATATGTCCTCGTTCATTTTTAACAACGTAAAAGCTTTTCATTCTTCTTTCGTAGTACGGTCATCATATGACTCTCAGTCAACATTGCACAAGGCACGATGACGTAATCAAAAACGACGTATCGAGAAGCATAGTTACTTAACAGAGAAATTGTGTTGTTTACAGCACCCTTTTCCGATTAAAAGTATATTCATGGTTATGAGTGAACTTGTTTCATCATACCTGATGCTTGCTTCAATACTTTCAAATGTGAAGCACCCCCTTTAGCCCATGCACCAAGAGGCCGTGAATGCAGCAATGCATTGTAAACTCGTAGACTCACCACCTCCAAAAGAAAATTATGCACAAGCATCCTCCAAAAAGATGATGTACGCCATATTGTGAGGCCACACGTGCATAATATTGGCACACGCAGTTCCCAAAAGTACCAGCGTCTCAGGCCTGCTGTAGCGGAACCATCCTGAGCAGCCTCTCCCGCCTGCCACCGCCAACCACCGTCCAGGGAAGACACGCGGTCGGATCAGTCTCCACCACGACAACGCCCCGCCTCATCGCGCCGCTGCTGGGACTGACATTCTGTCTGACAGCGGCGTTGGCTGCTAAAGCATCCTCAGTTGTCCTCGGACCTTGCCCCAGCTGAATTCTGGCCGTTTTGTCAAATGAAGGATCACATGTGCGAGCGAGCTGTCACCCGCTGCGGTAGGCATTGGGGTTGGCAGCATTGCAGTATGGCAAACATACTGCCATACGGAGCCTTGGTAAAGCTATGAACCATGAACCACCTGGTGCGCCTCTACCAGCACTGCTTTGAAAAACAGGGAGGACACAGACAGAACTGACCCATTGATGATGAGTGTATGTTAATAGATGCGCTATTTCCAGCCAGAGGGACCTCCAACCAGCCACCTCTCCAACCAAACCGTTTTTGGAGTGCACTGGTAAGCAGCCCTCCAGTTTTGGATGTTATCTCTTGCCGAAGCAGATGTCAAAATTGAGCGGCATGTTTTTTTCACAGAGAGCGATGATGAAGGATCTATTTGTTTGCGCAAGGCATTACGATAAGTCGATAGATGTCCCGGGATCAAGATCACAGAAACTGGTTAACTTTCGCCGACGACGGCGGGATATCTGACAGCCCTTTCCCTGAGCTGTTTGCTTGCGTAAGTTGGTGACCGGTGGAGTCATCAGGCTGAGCGTTCAGTAGCTGATACCTGTATCCCTCCGATTTAACAAATGTGTGACTTTGACACGGAACACAGCGGTCAGTTATGATAGCGTATTGGTCCACACTGTGGGTGGGGAAGACGAAGCATATCAGTGTTAGCATTTGCATATTATATATATATATATATATATATATATATATATATATATATATATATATACGTACGCATGCAAATTTAGCTGTTGAGTGTACATTGCGACTCAGCACTATACTGTAATCTGAGTTCTCTGCTCGTGAAGAGAAATATGCAGGGTTCAAGAGAGTCAAAAAACATTACAGTTTTTAGCAAGACTTAAGCAGGGCTCAAGACTGGCCAATCTGGACAGGAAAACCAAATCATTCAGTCAGTTCACACATCCTGTTCATTTATTTCTCTCACAGGCAGCACCTGACCCATGAGCAGGTTTGCAGACGAACAAGCGTGCAAAACCGGCGCACCGCGGATATTGTGTATGCTAACTTTGGCGTGGTTTTGGGGCTTGCTTACGTTAACAACGCTTAACAGCTATAGAGCCAAAGAAAAATAGACACCTCCTTTTATTTGCATCCGTTCATTTATCTACCCACTTTATCTATTTGAAGATGGAAACAATGGCCCAGTATGCACCAATCCACGTTGCCAATGCATTATATCACATGTTGTCACGTCGAAGGAACGGCCGCGGGGCGACTCACGCTGAGAGCCAACTTGACAGGTGGTGTAGACACACACGCGCACACACACACACACATACGCGCACACGCGCACACGCACACACGCGCACACATACACACGCACACACACACGCACACACACACGCACACACGCACACGCATATATATATGTATGTATCGAAAGATTGCTCACATTTCTCACGCGACCACGGGCCGGCTCACGCTCCCGATACTTCCGTCCGGCCCTTGAGCCAACCCCTCCACGACGCGACCATCCGGGGCCAGACACAGGCTCAGCGTCAGACACGGGTGGTAGCAGCACCGCGAGCCCCGGGGGCATGCCGAGTCGTTACCGCACGCGCGCAAGGTCGAAAGGTCGGCAGGTCGCGGCGGGCAGGCTTCGCTCGAGATCAGAGGGCACCGCCGCTCGACGTCTCCTGCCCGCAAACATGGCAAAGCCCGGTCAAGGTTGAAAGGGAGGAACATCCAAACCTGCGAGCCTCAACTTTGGTTGGCGGAAATGAGATGTTTATTCAATACGTTGCTAGTCACACAGCACTCAAGTGACAAGGCATGTTACAAGATGCAATTGAGCGAGATGAGGCACATAGTCGCAGAACGGTGGAAGCTGCAGCGACATTTACGACAACGTTGCTGCTAAAGAAAGTTGCGGCATTCAGTACTTATACAGGTCGTCCAGGTTCGCAGTCACCATAACAACATATTGGCAAGAGCCATGTCCGCAACTGATCGACTGCCCCAGCAGCGATTAGGCTTATTTGCGAACGTCACTTTTAACGCCCGCATATGGCGGTCACTCGTACACCTTCCGAATGCCGAAGAACACCCCGCCCATCTGGTTGAATGAGAGGGCAGGCTCGAAGTCCGCACCTTTAGGCAGCACGAAGCGCGAGAGCTGCTCCGATGGTGTCGCTCTGGGCGCACCTGGCTGGACCGGCCGGCTGGAAATGGATCGGCCTTCCGTTCCTCCAGGGTTAACACGAACGGGCCCGCGGTCAGATGCGATGATAGGACGCCCTCGGGACCTGGTATTCGCGCGACCCAGACTGCTGCGGACGGCTTGGCCACCTAGCGAGCGAGGTGAGAAGCTGGCAAAGCGTTCTGCATCGCTAGATGGCCATACCCAAGAACCAGGCTTGGCAGCGACTGCAGCGGCGACCGCTGCCATGGTCAGCAGTGTCAGAAGGTGCTGGAAAAGAAAATACTCCAGGTTATCCGAGCCCTTCGAATTCGTGCACATTCAAGGACGTATACGTTTGGTAGCCCCTGACAGCACACGCCACTCCATAAACACGCGCTCGGGTGGGGGGTCAAATTGACCCCCGAAAGTTTTTCCCGAACGGTTTCCAAACGGCGCGGTGTAGCCGCGCCAAATTTTGCATACCTGTAGACAATTGAATAGCGGATTTGTTTGTAAACAAAATTCAGATGTACCTCGTACGGCTGCTGACCGATGGCAAGTCACACTTGCCATTGGTGTAGATGGCAAGTCAGAAGATGGTTTCAGTGAAGGCAATTTCTAGGGAACCGTTTAATCTGATGCAGCAACGGAGTGCTAGACGAAGCCACACATCTCGGAGATGCTTTCTTAGGCAATACAACAATTGAATGAGCAAATTAAAGTGCCCTAAGGTCAGGTATTAAGGCTAAAACCAACCCGTTTTATTACCCTAGGGCTTGCTGTATGGCATAGTTTCTGGTGCTCATTTCGAATTTATTGATAACAGGAACCACATTCTGCGTCTTCCATGGACTTCTTAGGCGTCAAAATAGGTCACTGACCTAAAATGACGCGGGTCAACAATTTTTTTTAAGGAACAGTACTGCCTAGCGTAGTCTTAGTCGCTTATTCAAATGTAAACCACAGAGCAGTCTTGTATTGTTTTGGTCACCATGGCCTTGAAATGGTCAAACAAGGTCACCAACCTGAATGAGCTTGCGACCTTTTGCTTATAAACAGTAATCTGGGTTCTGGGGGCACTTTGGGGACCAGCCTGGAATTTGACCTTGTTTGACCTGATTTGACCCAAAGGTCATGACCTACGAAACATCAAACTTTGACCTAAGTGAGTTGATGTACAGTTCAACACATCCTGTAAATTTGGTGTTTCTAGCCTTCTTAGTTCCTAAGATATCAGGGGGGTCAAATTGACCCCCCACTCGAGCGAAAGGTGTCCAGCCCGGGCGCGTCTTAACAAATTTATGGCATGTATTAACATGTGCGTGACCTAATGTGGATAGTTCAACATTAAAGAAAGGTAGATGTGGAAAATAAGAGGGTCAAGAGTACGCAGTGTTGGCTTAGGACGCGTAAGACACTCTCAGAGCCTGCGGCACGCTACATTTCAGCGTAATCAGCGCACCTTTGCAATTGTGGCCATTTCCTTCCTTACTCCCCACCCCTTACCCCATTACGAAATCCTGCGTCCTTCCCTGAGCAAGTCCGTTTGTTGTGACTTCGCCAAGCAGAAGCGACAGGCTACCAGGATCAGGTATCGCTGACTCAAAACCAACGAGTGTAGAAATTCATCCAGCACGTAGCAATATGGCCCAAAGTATACTTCATACGTCGGCATAACACCCATAACAGACGTGACCCACAGTGTAATAGCCCACCGCACGTGTCCGCGGTCCGTAACCCACAGTGCATCAGCCTGCCGTGCGCGTCCGCCGTCCGTGACCTACAGTGTATTAGCTCGCCGCGCATGTCCGCGGTCTGTGCCCTACAGTGTGTCAGCCCGCCGCGCGTGTCCGCGGTCTTTCCACATCGGTACGCGATCTGGCGGTAGCGTACTCAGGGGGGCGTCACTCCTCCCGTGGGAAGAGCCGAGTCATCGGACGCTCTGGTCAGTGACCGCTGAGAACGCGACGCGTTATCAGCCGATGGCACGGCGGAGCGCACGAGAAGCAGGTGACGTCAGCGCTCGGCCCGAGCGGACGGCAAGGTCGCTTCCCTGAACCGAGTGCCTCCCACCGCCGTCGGCCGCGCAGCAGGACCTTCCGGTCGCCCGAGACTTGTTTGGCAGCGTTCATGGTCGCTTCCCAGTCCGGTGTCATGGGCTGGTCGAACTGGGCCCCGGAAGACAGGGCTGGAATAGTGATGGGGTGCCCACGCCGTACGATTGTGGCAGCAGCCTCGACGCGGTTTCCAGCGGAGGATGGTATGGCCTTTTGTATTCCCTGTGGGTTCTACGAGTTCCCGGTTCAGCTCGTCGGACCTCTCTCTCTCTCTCTCTCTCTCTCTCTCTCTCTCTCTCTCTCTCTCTCTCTCTCTCTCTCTCTCTCTCTCTCTCTATCATCTCTCTCTCTCTCTCTCCTCTCTCTCTTCTCTCTCTCCTCTCTCTCTCTCTCTCTCTATCTCTCTCTCTCTCTCTCTCTCTCTCTCTCTCTCTCTCTCTCTCTCTCTCTCTCTCTCTCTCTCTCTCTCTCCTCTCTCCTCTCTCTCTCTCTCTCTCTCTCTCTCTCTCTCTCTCTCTCTCTCTCTCTTCCTCTCTCTCTCTCTCTCTCTCCTCTCTCTCTCTCTCTCTCTCTTCTCTCTCTCTCTCTCTCTCTCTCTCTCTCTCTCTCTCTCTCTCTCCTCTCTCTCTCTCTCCTCTCTCTCTCTCTCTCTCTCTCTCTCTCTCTCTCTCTCTCTCTCTCTCTCTCTCTCTCTCTCTCTCTCTCTCTCTCTCCTCTCTCTCTTCTCTCTCCTCTCTCCTCTCTCTTGTCGCATGAAGCAGGGACACTGCGGTTCCATTAACCTGTCTGCCCTACAGGAAACTCTAAGGTCAGCAACCTTGCCTCGCACGTGCGGATCAACTGGCAGTGAAAGCCACAAACGAACGTCAACAGAGGGTCGCCGAATCGCAAATCCCAAACCGGAAGGAGGGTCGGGAGGGGATGTTGTACCTGGTGTTTACCACCGGCAGGTTACTTCCGTCTGAGCTGAAAGATGGAACTGATGGCGGGAATGTGGCGAACGTTCCTCAGGGAAAGGCCGAATGTTAAGGCTCTAATGTTCCAACCATTACAACCGTTTTGCTGCGAAACCGCTCCACATCTAATGTGGAGTGCTTGTCTCGGAAAGGTGCCGTGACACTTGCAGCATCTCCCCTGATTACGTCCCTAATTGGTGTCGTTGCTTTATGCCTATTCACATGTGTTTGGCCAACTTCCGTTGTTTGCCGCATACCTTTCTGTACGGCAATGGTTTAGTGTAATATCTGGTATATTTTCGAGCAAACATATGTCATGTCCGCATTGACCTCACTGCGATGTTTTTTTGCATTTGAAATAAAAAACACTCCCTAGCGAGAAAGCTATCCTGAGTTTCGCTTCAAATTTCAGGAGTCGACGGATGGTATAATCACCAAAAAACACACAACGTATGAAATGTGCGACCCTTCAGCATGCGTGCACATAGAAAAGTCATTTTTAGTACTTCAGACGGGCAAGAGTCGATGCTTGAGGAGGAAGTTGCCTTGAGGTCATTTACGCCACGGAGCAGGAAGGTAATTACCTTAACGCTAACCTTCCTACCAGTTATTAATCGATCATCTTTAAGCAGAAAAACGAAAGCATCACCATGATAATTGCCGGTCGCTTTTGGTAACGTAATTAAGTAAGACTGGTTCATTTTCCTGATGCAAGCAGGGAGACCCATCTTATCATGTCATATCAGCCGGCTCAAAGTAAGGAAAAGGCGACAAGCGCATTACAGTATGCAACAAGCCACATACTACCATACAGGTAATCAGAAAGGCAAATAGATGGACGGGCTCTTGGAAATGCTTTGGAGACAAAATGCCAGCATTGTTGCGCCGACAACTACATGTCGCCGAGATAAATCATGCCGTTTCCATCCCCACTGAAGGCATGTCTCAAGCATATGGCTGCAGGCAGATGAGCGCAGATGCGCGTAGACCTGGACGTGTTCATTCTCCTTGACAAAAGCAGCGGAATGGCGCGGCCGGTTGGCCCGAGTCATAGCTACACGACGAGGCAGCTTGGTCTGTCCGGCCTGACCGGGCCCTAAGGGAGACGTGACGTTGGAGTAGCATCATTGAACGGAAACACAACGAGCCCAAGACACAGCATAAACGGAACCACACTGCCACTGTCCGCTTAAAAGGAGCTCACATCATGCTGCGCAAATACAAAGACAGTGGACGGTGCAGCTGTGCAGGTGCGCTGCACGGAAAGCGTCACCCATCGACCTTGGTCCTCAAGTCAGTACCAAAAACATGCCAGTGTCCTGCACAGAGAGCGTCACCCATTGGTCTCGGTTCTCAAGTCAGTGCCAAAAACATGCCAGTGTCCTGCACAGAGAGTGTCACCCATTGGTCTCGGTTCTCAAGTCAGTACCGAGGACATGCCATTGTCCTGCACAGAGAGCGTCACCCATTAGTCTCGGTTCTCAAGTCAGTACCGAGGACATGCCAGTGCGGTCCTGAGAGCCTCAGTTTGCTTTATTGACAGAGCTGTCCGCACCGTAGTGATCTTGCCAATGATGTGAAGCCCTGAGCCTTGCACGTCGAGATAGCGGGGTTTCCAGACCCCACCAGCTCTTACTTTTCCGCAGCCGTCGGGCTTAAGCATGCAGAATCAAAGCAGCTACGCCACACGTCCTGTTGCTTTGGCATTGGCCAGGACCACCTACGTCACGAAATGTCTAACCTGCAGGGTTAGCAATCTTGGACGGTTTGCTTCTGTACACGACATGTCTCTGCAAATGATTCCGTATCCGCTGCACGTGCGGTTGTGTAAAGCGTGTCCAAGCACATCTGCGGCCTGGACGTGACATGTGAGCAGGATTATTTCCACTTCGAACGGTCACAACCGGAGGATCCCAAAACGATCTGCGCTTGGAAATCGCCTTCGCGTGCCGCAGTATTTAACCGGCACGTGTCTCCAGCCAAATTGGGCGTTGTTGTGCAGCCTGCTGCCCTCCCACTCGTCTCCGCTTGGGTATTGTCGGCCCAAGATCCCAGGAATCCTCGGCGCCGTCAATGCGATCAGTTAATTGCAGCTTTAGCAAAGTTATGGCAGAACAGGGTGCATCGCCAGACCAGCGGATGTTTTTGGTCAGCTGATGGAGGTGACAGCTGAGCTTTTTTCGCTGGAAAACCCGAAACCTGTCATTGTGCTCGTCACGAGAGTAGTTGGCATTCCGAGAATGAAGTAAGCCTGTGCTGTTTGTGTACATGGATT